TAAAATTTATCATACCTCCTATTCGGGATTATATCGTTACCCCCCTTAAATAATATTCTTTCCGACCCTGTAGTAAAATTCAATTTTCTTTATATTAAGAGATATTTCCAGAGAAAAGTTTATAAGAAAAAGTTATTCAGGGATAGCACTTACCCAAGAGATTCAATCCGACCTGTGGATCCTACCGGAAACCGATTGGATCCGAAACGGATTGCATCGGAATCCGACGTCTTCCGTTAAAACCGATCGGATCCGAACCAGTTTACGTCGGATTCCTTGCACAGGATTCCGAACCGGATTACGTCGGAAAATATCCGTTCGACGGATTCAAACGGATTTGAAATCCATCCGACAGAATCCGATCGAGCGGCTTTCCTTGGTTTGAATCTCTTGGGTGCCTTTTGGAGAAATCGAGATACCCAAGAGATTGAATCCGACCTGTGGATCTTACTGGCAACCATCGGATCCGAAACGGATTGCATCGGAATCCGACGTCTTCCGTTAAAAACCGATCGGATCCGCTCCAGTTTGCGTCGGAATCCTGTGCAAAGGAATCCGGATCGGATCACGTCTGAAACGTCGGATTCAAACGGATTTGAAATCCATCCGACAGAATCCGACCGAGCGGCTTTGCCTTGGGTATTCGGGTCAGAATGTAGATCATTGAGTTCTGTGGGTGTTAGTGAATACAACTTGGGGTGCTTGTGTGGACTATAAGTGAAATTTTGGGTGTTAGTGGGTCAATATAAGGACTTTTGGACTGGTATGATGTGTTTCTAGAGAAAATTTTACCAGAAAAAGTTATTCGGGGATAGCACTTATTCGGGTCAGAATATAGATTATTGAGTTCTGTGGGTGTTAGTGAATACAACTTGGGGTGCTTGTGTGGACTATAAGTGAGATTTTGGGTGTTAGTGTTGAAGGGGGTCATTTTTTTGTCTTTGTTGAGGGTCTATTTCTTCTAGGAGTTGGACAAAGTGGGTGTTAGTGGGTGTTTGTGCACATAACTCTCCAAGCTGTGGGTGTTAGCGAAGATGACCCATATGCGTTTTTACAAAGTTGGGTGTTTGGGTGTTAGCATAAATTAGTAACACCCGATAAATGGTTACCTACAAATGTATCGTAAAGAAATGGAACAAAACGATTTCCATTTAACTAGTAACAATAGATCCATCGTGTTTCACATTTTTAATCCCGTAAGGGATTGCGCTAACAGCTTTTTGACTAGTGGGTAGGTAGTCCTTAAAAGTCAACCGAGGTTAATTTTACTATAGTGCATCCAAATGCGCTGAAACTTTGGGTTTGTTAGTTTCTAATGATGACCTTTCGAATGCACATGAAAAATAAAAAATAAAAAATTTATCGTGTACCTCGTATACTAGATCATCCTTGGTCTCCTCGTGGACTCTCTCTCAAGGACTATTAAGCTGAAAATTTTATCATAAACGTATCTCAATGAGGCCTACTAGTAGCCCAAATTTGAGCCCATTCGGATGATGTTTTGAAAAACATTACTGCTCTTGGCCTTCTAAACATTGTTTAAAAATCTCTATACCAAAATTTATTTCCACAAACTTTTGAAAACACTATTCGATGCAGTTCGATGTGCTCTTTCAAATGAGGCTACTCTCAATTTGGTCTATCACGCTGATATGAACAACTTGTCCTATATACGTGGTCATAGGTGTACCTATTACAGCGGAAACGTTTTCCTGCCAGAAGATGTTTCCAATATTATCAAAAGATAGCCCATAGTCGAAAGTATCTATGGTAAAATAAAATCGCGGTTAGAACTCTTGTCGTTCTTGAGAAAACGAAAACTTACTGGAAAATATTGCCGAAAAATCGCTTCAAAAATAGGCGAGTGCCTATACTTGTCAAGGCTATATCTCCAGAACAGCCCATCCGTTTGAGCTGAAATTTTCAGATTCATCCTAACTTGACGTGGTCTATGTACTGTAAAAATATCAGCCAAACCGGCGACATTTATTGAGTAGCCTCTGCTTAAATTGGGCGTGGCTTACATGCAATGCCTCCTAAGCACGGTCGAAACGCGTCGCAACAGCTTATTAAGATTATATCGAAAACTCACTCCTCACCCCTAGTCGTCGAAATTGTAGAATAGGTAATTTATCTGTGATTGTTAAAATCATTTGGATAATTAAATAGTCGAAACCATCTGATGAAGCTCTTGAATAAGGCCGAAACGCGTTATGGTTTGCTTGGACTCTCACCCTGTGTTTTTTCGTTTCTGTATATTGACTGTAAGACTGTTGTAAAACCTTTTTTCAAAGATATCACTCATATCTTTATAACTAAAGATGTTTATCAGTTTCACTCCGTTCTTTTTCTTTTTTGTTCCCTAGACTGAAAGACTAGGGTCTAGAAACCGTAATTCACCTGTGTCTGTTTGTCCGTCCGTCTGTCTGTCTGTCTGTCTGTCTTTAACAAACGCTTGGCACAAATGACCATTTCTATGGCACAAATCACCATTTTGCATGCCACAATTGACCATTTTTATGGCACAAATCACCATTTTGCATGGCACAAATGACCATTTTGCATGGCACAAATGACCGATTTGCATGGCACAAATGACCGTTTTGCATGGCACAAATGACCATTTTTATGGCACAAATGACCATTTTGCATGGCACAAATGACCATTTTTATGGCCCAAATGACGATTTTGCATGGCACAAATGACGATTTTGCATGGCACATATGACCATTTCTATGGCACAAATGACCATTTCTATGGCACAAATGACCATTTCCATGGCACAAATGACCATTTCTATGGCACAAGTGACCATTTCCATGGCACAAATGACCATTTCTATGGCACAAGTGACCATTTTTATGGCACAAATGACCATTTTTATGGCACAAATGACGATTTTGCATGGCACAAATGACCATTTCTAGGGCACAAATGACGATTTTGCATGGCACAAATGACCATTTCTATGGCAGAAATGACCATTTTTATGGCACAAATGACCATTTCAATGGCCCAAATGGCCATTTCTATGACACAAATGACCATTTTTATGGCACAAATGACCATTTCAATGGCCCAAATGGCCATTTTGCATGGCAGAATTCACCATCATAAAATAATGACCGAATAATGTCGTCTGTGAAAGACAAACATAATACTGAATATAAAACAAAACGACTAATAAGAAGATAGAAAAGAAAAAAAGATAGACGAGAAAGAAGACATGACAGAATGAAAAAAAAATTTAACCAGAAAACACTCGAGGAGAAAGGACAAAAGAACCTTACCTATTATTCATACACTCAATATATTACTGCGTAATAAATAAAAACAATCAAGTGCATGACGCAATACGTACAAGATTTTCAAATGCGCAATATCTCATACCAAATGAACTACGCAATAAATCCAGATAAAAAAGGATATCCAGTACGAACCCTCGACAATAGAAACACGCAATAAATACTATACAAATACAAATAACATTTAACAATTAAGTAAAAAAAACCCTTAAGTCTAAGCATATTCCGAATTCGAAAAACTCTTCAAAAAGACAAAACATTTTCATACAATAGAGTCCCATACACACTAAACAGCTAATCAAAATATCAGGATACATACTATGTCCCAGACGTGAACAAAAAAAATCCGAATCCCAAAAACGAATCTACCCATAGAATCCTATCATTCTCAATTAAACGCACCAAATCAAACATTTATATTTCTAGATTCCTAGTAGTTCAACAACACAACATCCTATTCTGAACGTTCTTCATGTTCTACGTGTTGTTAATTCTCAATTTAGCTCCAATCGTTTAAAATCATCTCATAAACTAGTTCGTACATTCATCATATTAAATATTCATTACAAAAAACATGTCCTCATTGTAGACGACATATTCAACAAACCAACTTCCATTTCACAAATCTACTTCACTCATCTAACGATTAAAAATAAAATAACATATACCTACAAATGACCAAGATAAACAACAAATAAATGAATGAATTCTTCATTTACCAAATTTGGCATCATTGCTGTCAGTTTCACTATTATTCTACAAAAAATAAAATCAATGTTTTCATATAAAAAATGTATGTATTATTCATAGCAATTATTAACATGGTTATGTTTATTTCTATATTTAGAAAAATTTTAATTCTATTGTTTATGAAGGTGGTACAGGTCAAACAACTATTGCTATTGTTACTATTGATCGTGCATTAGATACGGTTACTGCTGATCGACTTGGAATTATTATTATCATTGATGTTTATTATGATGGTGGTACAGGTGAATGTATTACTATTGCTATTATTGTTAATACTGGTCCTGCCTTATTTATTATTGATGTTAGTCGTGTTAAAATTGATATTATTATTGGTCGTCCAAGTCGTTCTTTTATTTTTGTTCAACATTACATTCATATATATTACGATTAGTTCCGATGATGCCCTCTATATGATCGAAAATTAAATCAACAAAACAACATTTAAATCATTTATTCTCATTTGTTATATTTTTATTAAAATTAAAATAAAAAAAAATTATTTATTTATAAATATCAATAAAAAAAAGGATAGTTCAATGGTTGATTTATTCTAATTCTCTTTGTTGTTGCTTTACTCATTGTTATTTTATTTATATATGAAAACTCATGTTAGCTTATAAAAATGTATGTATTATCTATACCAAATATTAAAATGCTTCCGTTTGTCTCCATTTAGAAAAATTTTAATTGTATTGGTTATGAAGATGGTACAGGTCGAAGAACAATTGGGTGTGGGTGTGGGTGTGGGTGTGGGTGTGGGTGATGTGGGTGTGGGTGTGTGGGTGTGTGGGTGTGAGTTGATGTCTCTCCTAATTATCTACACCCACACACCCACACCCACACCCACACCCATACCCATACCCATACCCACACCCACACCCCACACCCTACAAGAATGATTTATTATTCATTATTTAATATTATTTACATGATTA